TTTCCTCAGATGAAAGCTAGAATCGAAGCTCGCTCAGAAGCCAAAACCAGCGGCCTCCTGTGGGCCGGACTGGCGCTGCTGTCCGCTCAGGCGGGGGCAATGGCCTGGCTCACGTGGTGGGTGTACTCCTGGGATATCATGGAGCCAGTGACGTACTTCATCACATTTGCCAATTCCATGGTCTTTTTTGCATACTTTATAGTCACTCGACAGGTGAGTTGTTTGTTAGGAAAATGGTTAAGTTAGCACATCTTTTGCATAGAATTCCTTACCTAAGTCAAGTAATGAGCAGTAAAGCTTTTTTATTTACTAAGTTACTGCTGTCTGGTTTTTTATAAACTGGTTAATGTTTGTTGTTGGTTTTCCCAAGGCTGGATAGAGATTTATATACAACACAGAAACTATATATAACCTCTATAGAGAAATAAATAGTGAAACTCAGAGTCTTCCATTGAGATAAATACATCAAATTTATGTTCTCTGTGCCCTTGCTTATAAATAAAGTTGAATTTGTATTGCAAAACGCCCAGTGACGTTAGCTTTGTCTCGTGGTTACTTTGCCAAAAGTCTCCGTTTCCCATTTTCTCCTTCTGTCCCAGTATGTGTGCTCTCTCTTCCCAGCTTGCTTGCCTGTGGCGGGAGCCACTCATCTCAGTGAGACTGACCGTGTTCCCCTGTTGCCTTGTGCTGTCTAGTGGCTGCGGCCATATTTTACTGTCCACCTTCCTTGGCTTTGGTGTTCCTGAGGCATTATGTTCATTCAGAACAAGTCCTGTTCTTTTTTAGGATTATACTTACTCAGCTGTTAAGAGGAGGCAGTTTCTTCACTTCTTCCATAAGAAGTCGAAGCAGCAGCAGTTCGATGTGGCACAGTACAACCAGTTGAAGGAGGAGCTCGCTAAGGTACCTTATTGCAAATGCGCCATCTGAGAGCTGGTCCCTGCGGCAGCCAGGCTTTGGTGTCAGGGAAACGCCGTCTCGGCTCATCCTCGCGGGCCGGGCGCGGTCCCAGACAGACTTCCGTGCACTGAGGTTCCTTCAGTCAATGGTTGAAACGTCTGATGTTAATTTCCTATCCTACAGTTTTATTCTCATCTTGGTTTTTCTACAAGGGGCCAGCTTTAAATGTGTCTGTGAAAATGTCATAAGTGGCTGAGATAGTAAAACAAACCTTTCCATGGGATCTATTCCCACATCTGTGTTTTCAAAGAAAACACGTCCACAGCGAGCTCGGTTGCAGGTTTGTAACCAGCGAGAGCATACAAGAGAGTCGAGCTGGAGGAAGGTGAACACTGATAGAGAATTTTCTAAAAGGATTTATGTTTCTTCTCCTTAAAAATAGAAGAATCAGTGTGGTATTCCACCCTTGTCTTTTCCATCTTTCAGATGAGAAAACAGAGGTGCTTAATTCCCTTGCCCAGGCGCACGCTGTTACAAAGTGGGGAAACCAGGCTGTGCACCCAAGAGTGTGGCTCTGGAGCCTCTGCTTCCACGGCCTTTCTCTCTGGCCTCCCAATGGACTCATTAGCTTTGTTCAGATGGTGACTTCTCAACACATAGCAGATTTTTAATTTTTCTCAGTAATTTTATAAGAAAAAACTTTGGTAAAAACATCTTCCATTGCTTAATGCATGCTCATTTGATAGCCAGTAATCATCATATCTTCTGTTACCTGTACCCTCTAAACTACCCATGCCTCAACTTTAAAAAAAAGTATTCCTAGAATTAAATTTTTAATTCAAAAATTGGAGATAAAGAGGCCTTTTTTAAAGGAAATTCATGTAATCCCTACATAGGAAAAATATGATACTTTTTTGTTTTTAGTTTAGTGGATACTCTTACATTTGAATGACCCCATCCAAGGATGCCAAGGAATGTTCTTCCACCCAATTAATAGCACTGGGCATTTAAGATTTAAAGTAGCACCCTGTGAAGTGTTATTTTTTTAAGGCAATAGTTGAGGAAAAAGGGAAACTGATCAGAGTGTTTCTTTTTTTTAATATAATCTGGAAAAACCATTATAAAGGGGAAAACTAATGTAACAAGAACTCTAAGGATGTCTAGAAACCTTAAACTTGACTTTATAAGGATCCATATAGAAATGTGTTAGGCATTTGCCGCTACTAATAGTTGAATGTATTGATTGCCTAAGGAGACATTAACTGGCCGGAACTCCCCTCGAGCGTGAGGCGTGTGCCTGTGTGCCTCCTCCTCTGATCGTGTCCCTTTTCCTTTCCCGTCCGCAGGCTAATGAATCCCTGGGGCAGGTGCGCCACTCTCTCTGTTTGCGGATGCGAGAGGAGCTCAAAGAAAAGAATTAATCTTACGTTGTTAAATGTTACTGAGTTTTTCCATTGTGTGTTGATTTTACAACCTAGAAACTGGAACTTTTTGAGTCCCATAGTTCATCTGAATTTGACAACTTCAGTAATTTTTGTTAATAAAAAAATGCTTGCAAAACATGTATTCTTTGAAGTTCTCACTTGAGATTTTTGGTTCGTGGATTTTCGTGACTTGAGGTTTAATGCTGGAAAGAGCTTGGATGATCCATGAAAATCGGAGCGGCTGCGCTACAGTTTGTCAGTTTGGCTGAGAATCCCCGTCAGCCTGTCCTGTTCATTCCCCGGGTGAGGGTGAAGTAGTCAGTGTGCCTCGTACTCACTTTAGTCTTAGGCGTCACTTAAAATCATCTTGTCATTGATTTCTTTTTTTTTTTTTGAGGCCTGAGCTAGCATCTGTTGCCAGTCTTTCTCTTTTTGCTTGAAGAAGATTGTTGCTGAGCTAACATCTGTGCCAGTCTTCCTCTACTTTATGTGGGATGCCACCACAGTGTGGCTTGATGTGTGGTGCTAGGTCCGTGCCCAGGATCCGAACCTGTGAACCCTGGGTCACTAAAGCAGCGTGAGCAACTAGGCTACTGGGCCAGCCCCTTGATTTCTTTTTAATAGATAGTAGTTGAAAGATTTTTATCATTAAATATAGCTAAAGTTACTATAAAATGTCATTGGAAATGTTTCATCTTAACTAATATTTAAAGCCACTCAAAACCTGTAGGGCTAGGATAGATACTGTTTATCATATGTTGTCAAGTACTGTTCTAGGCACTTTACATATTATTATTTGTAATTCTAGAATCCTACAAAATAGCTTTTTTTTTCCCCCTGAGGAAGATTAGCCCTGAGCTAACATCTGTGCCAGTCTTCCTGCATTTTATATGTGGGTTGCTGCCACAGCCTGGCTGATGAGTGGTGTAGGTCTGCACCCAGGATCGGAACCTGCGAACTCGGGCCGCTGAAGTGGAGCACGCCAACTTAACCACTAGGCCACAGGGCTGGCCCTGAGGTAGCTATTTTTAATCCCAATTTAATAATGAGGAAACTGAGGCTTAGAGAGGTTAATTTGCCCAATGCACATAGCTATAATAAGATTTAAGCATCTACTCATAGGAGATCATAAGTCTTTGTAAATTTACACCTAATGGTATTTAATCTCTTATCCAGGATTTCAGTTTCAGTGTTTAACTATGGGACAGAAAGGGTAATAATGACACCCTGATATTAGAGATTTTCTTAAAAACAAACAAACAAACGAATCCCTCCCCCCACTGACCGTTTCAGGGTATATCTGAACCAAATCAGATTCCAACTTCCTGCACCTTAACTAGAGCGGCAGACAGTGATCACTGGCTGTTCGCCTCAGTGTCTCTGAACCACAGAGATTCTGAATTACCAACATATTAGTGTGTGTTATTACTGAGGTGAGAATATGCACTAATAGGTTTTTATAAGGAATGCCACCAGGTTAAGTAAGTATTATGAGAAGCCCTTTGGACACGTTCTGCCTTTGAGGAGCTCTATTTCCAGGTAGAGACAAAATGGTGAATATAATAGAAGTTAAGAGGAACCAGCTTGGAAAGGCAGGCCTTGCCTTTTGGGTGGAATTTGGAAGAGGGAGGGCATCTCAGGCAGGGGAGATACAACATGGGGCGGGGAGTCTTGGAGGAGGTCTTGGCTGTGTGTATTGGTGGGACGTTTCCCTAACCAGAGGGAAGGATACACAGTGAGGAGAAGTAGATTCATTGAGTTAAGGTTGACCTGGGAGGATGGGGTCAGATAATGGAAGCAGGATTCTGGATTTAAGGTGGAAACAGCAGAGTGAATCCAGTGTGGGATGGAAAATGCACGGGCTTACTAGGTGGAGGGACTGGGCAATTCACCTGACCTCTGCTCATCAAAATAATTGCAAAATAATGCCATGAGCTTCCTGAGACTAAGGGGAGATGAGATACTTTGAACAGGCCTAACCTAGGGCAGACACCCCACAGTGTCACTCCTGAGGAAACGCTCCTGGAGAACTGGGTGGGTTGCTTTGTTCACTGATGTGTCCGTCCCAAGGGCCAAGAATAATGCCTGGCCCCATCCCAGGTCCCCAGGAAAGACAGAGAACAGCCTGCAGCATTTTCACGTACGGCGCTGGGGAACAATCCTAGACTAGGAAAGCAGAAAAGATGGCTTCTGAATTCTTGCCAGTGGTCTAAAGGGAAATCTGGGAAGATGGGGTAGACGAGAGCAGGAGTCAGCAAACCAATACCTGTGCCTGTTCTTGTAAATAAAAGTTTTACTGGAACACAGCTGTGCTCACTTACGTGTGACTGTGGCTCTTTTCGCACTACAGCAGCCAAGTCGATTGGCTGCCAGAGACAGTGTGGCCTGCAGGGGCTCACACGCTTATTCCCTGGCTCTGACAGGAACACGTTCCTGACCCCTGAACAGAAGACAGCCTGACGGGGAGGACAGCCAGAGTCAGGGTTTGCGAGTGCTTGGCCTGCGCTGACTGAGAAGTAACGTGTTCTCTATCTCTTCCTCAGAATGCCACATAATAGTTCTTGGAGGCTGATTTTTTTTTAGAGAGTTAAAGTCGTATACAAAAAGTGGTAATTCATATGTAGATGAATCTGTATGACCAAGTAAAACGAGTATACTATAAATTACACACATGAATAAGAATGTAAATTAGAAAAATTTAATAAAACATGAATTTGAAATAATGGAAAACAACTTTATAATTCTTGGGTTTCAGAAATCCTTTAAAAACATGATAAATGCTTATAAAATACAAGCTACATCGCCCGACAGTTTGCGCAACCCTGCAGCTTCCTGTGAAAATCAAGCACTGCAGAGCCTTGCGGCTGGGATCTATAAGTCAGTCCCTGAGATTCCCTTTCTATGCAGAGCACACCCTTGCACCTTGTCCAATAGGAACTATTTTTTTAAAAAGCTCTCTCATTAAACCTTAAAACATCTTCAATTGTTGTACCATAAGCTTAAACCTACTGATACTTATTTATGTAAAAAAGGAAATCTATTTTGAAGACAGATACATAAAAGAGCCCCTCTCACTTGGATTTTGGGAAGAAATGCAGCTTTTTCGTTAGCATGGAGGCAAAGCAGGGCACCTGCTTCTTTCCAATGGCACTCGGGTCCTTGCAGAAGTCCACTCGGCGCTGGGACACTTTCCTGTTGACCAGCGTGAGGAGTTCCGTGAACTCTAAGGAGGAGCCGAACCTCGCCAGCATCTCACACAGGTCTTGAATGTACCACGAGCCGTTGATGGTCTCCCGGTGGGAATAGTAACCTGAAGCAGAGAGCAGGGAGAACACTGAAGCCCTCTGGCTGTCAGTCACCTTTATGATTCACCGTTACGGAAGGATGAGCTCCCGAAAATCCTTGGGGAAGACTAAGACGTGTCCTTGATACAGTTTTAAAATTTTTTCTGTTGACTATTCTCTTGTGGGAAAAGGGACCCATTCTATGTAATTTCCTCCATTTCCTAAAAAATTCCTAAGATAAGAGTAGCTAGGCAATGATTTTGAGAGAGACGAGATTAGAAAGAAGAAAAACATAAAATTATTTACTGCGAGAGCAAAGAACAACTGTCATCAAAATATTTTTCAACAAAACTTTCCATGAGTATTACCACAATGACACCGTCACCATCAGTAACTGATAGCAGGCTGCTAACATTCAGTATAATTAGACTTGTAGCTTTCCTTAGTTCCTGGGAATGATTTTTCCATAAGGTATTTTACACTTTCATCTGTCACTCTGTGCCACGTGATTAAAGAGATCCATGCCAAGACTGTGAGGTGCAGGACCAGGTCGCCGCATCCCAGCAGAAAGACCTGACCCAAAGCAAGCCAAGGGGAGACGCCCAGGCACTGAAGAAGGCCAGTCACGAACACCCACGCACCTTCTGCGACAGAGTAGCACATGAGGAAGTCGGCTCCAGCAGGCAGCGTGTAAACGGAGGCCGCATCCACCTGGGTCACGTTGGCATCCAGCTTGTCTGTCCCGTGGTCCACGACATCCAAAGGAGTGACGGGCACATCGTGCTGGTCCCCCCGACAGGCCTGCGAGACGAGGAGGAAAAACACCTTCACTTACCTACTCTTTTCCTCCCAACGCTTCATTGTATAGTGACGGGATAATTTATGCCACATGTGTGTCATATGTGTCAACATCTGCAGAAGCCACGTTACAGGCACTCCAAAAACAGTGCATTCAGGTTGAGAGCAGACGAAAAGTTGCCAAAGTTTTTCGCCTACCTATGTTTCTTTTTAGTTAATGTTTAGAAAAATGGCATGCTCAACCATACACCAAATTATGTGGATTGAAAGGTACACCATAGGGGAAACAGCTGCTGTGGTTCTAAAGTTACCAGTGGCTTCACCACACCGCAACAGCAGTCACCCTTTATTTTTATTTTTTTTTGAGGAAGATTAGTCCTGAGCTAACTACTGCCAATCCTCCTCTTTTTGCTGAGGAAGACTGGCCCTGAGCTAACATCCGTGCCCATCTTCCTCTACTTTATATGTGGGATGCCTGCCACAGCATGGCTTGCCAAGTGGTGCCATGTCTGCACCTGGGATCTGAACCTGTGAACCCCAGGCCACCGAGAAGCAGACCATGAGAACTTAACCACTGCGCCACCGGGCTGATCCCCTAACTCTTTCTTGTAAAAGCCGTAGGACTTGCCTGAGTGTTTCTAGCTCATCAGCTAACACATCCCAGCTGGCCCTGCTGCTGCCGTGTGACGCCCGACCAGGAGGCCTCTGTCGATGTGCCTGCCTCCCCACGCTCCTACTGCACAGTGGGATCTCACACCCTTACCCACTAATTCTGACTCTCACAAAGGATAACCTAATTTCTTTTCCTACCTGACTGTTATGGGCTGAATTCTGTGCCCCTAAATTCATGTGTGGAAGGCCTCACGATATTAGGGATCTTCTGTTTAACTGATAACTTTGAAATCACTCAGGACTTTTTTGTTTCTTTTAGAGCTTATAAGTGACCATTTATTTATAACGCTAGAACGGAATCCTGCTTTCTCACTGTGCCAAGGTTGCGAGGGCTGCCAGGACAAAGCACACACAGTGGGGGCTCGAACAACAACAGATGAGGCTGAAGTCTGAGGGCACAGTGTTGGTCAGCAGGGTTGGTTTCCCCTGAGGCCTCTCTCCCTGGCCTGGAGGGGGCCATCCTGTCCCTTTGCCTTCACGGGGTCCTTCCTCTGTGTGTGTCTGTGTCCTAATCTCCTCTTATAAAGACGCCAGCCATGGTGGATTAGGGTCCACCCAGCTGACCTCATTTCACCTTAATTCCCTCTTGAAAGGCCCTGTCTCCAAATCTAGTCACATCCTGAGTTATTAGGGGTATTTTCACAGGGAGACTTCAATCTGACTTAGCATTCTCAGGCTTATTTTCAGAGCTTATTTTCCACTGTCTGCCTAAGTAGAACACAGAACCCTGGACCTTGACGCCATCCCTCGCAACGAGAGTAAGAGCCCGCCTTTACCTAGGGTCTGCACGGGCTAGCACCGGCCTGAGGGTGTCCGTTTGCCAGGCCAGGGCGCTTTAGCCCTACCAGCAGTGCTGTGGTAGTCCAGGCTCACAGGTGAGGAACCAAGGCAGACAGAAATAAAGTACCTGGCGACACGTAGCTCCCTTGTGGCTCTCGTCCCATGGCAGCTCATAGTTATTTCCAGTTCTCTGTCTGTGACAGGCTGCCCACTCCCTTGTTCACGAAGCCATCGTGTCACTATTTTTCCTGGTGTCTCTCCTCCTGCTCTGGCCCACCCCCTCAGCATCCTTCCTCTGCTCCCACCTCACTGGTGTCCTCAGTTCTGCTTTACACTCATCTTTCAGGCTGTGCTCGACAGGCTGTAAACTCCTCTACTCCCATGGCTTCCATCTCCATCCGTCTCTTGATTCCCCCCAATTTACTTCTCCATCTCAGGCTGCCCATCTTAGCTTCTTGAGCTGTATCTCCAACTGCTTGTCCCACGAGAACCCAATGCAGTTGTCCAAAGGAGAAACCAGGGAATTGTCCTTAACTCTTTTCTTACGGGGCCCCCACTCCCTCCCCTCAAGGCTTGGCGGCAAGACGTGAAATGTCCTCGCTGCCACTGGTGGAAACAGAACTGCAGCTCTGACACACGAGGAGTCTGCTCTCTTTTTTGTTCAAGACCCTCACTGATGTGATAAATGATGCTAATCAGGCCAAAAAATATTTTTATCCCTCATACCAATTTGGCAGGGGGCACGCAGCATCTTGGTTTAAGGGGAAGTGTGAAAGGCCGAGGCAAGCTAGGACTAGAGCCTGCAGGCCTGCAGCCCGCCCCCCGCCACACGCGCTCTGCAGCCGTGAAGAAGCAAACCAGGTCGGAGCAGCTGCCCTGCGTCGCACCCCACACCCGGCGGACGCCTCTGCTGGCCCTGCCCTGACACCAGGCTGGCCAGGGAGTAGTACATTGTTTATTCTGAGCCATTTCAAATATCAATCCAAGTAATAAGTATTTATTCTTTGTGTTAATAAAGAATTACTCCTAATAGCTCAAATTGCAACTCTGATTGACTAGGATTCAAAAAGGATCTTTTCTATTACTGGAGAAGTTACTTTTGAAATTGGCTTTAATTCTCTATAAGCACATCTACAGAACCATGGACTTTGTAAGTAAGACAATAACATAGTCAGTCTTACCTGAATGATAAATATCTTGGGTTTTCCAACCAGGCTCTGACACTTGTCTCCTTTGAACAAGCCAGTCAAGGTCTGAATTTCAATTTTGGCGTCATACGCGTAAATGTGATTGCCTTCGCCGTGACTCAGGAAGACGCAGACGAAGCAATCGGCATCTGCGTGGCTAGAGGTTGACACTATAAAGGTCCCCAAAGTTCACACAGAAATGAAAATAAGATGCTTATTATCTCCATATAAATATTCAATTTACTAATACCAGAATAGTGACATATGATTGGGGGGGGAGGAAAATTTGTTATTCTTATAATAAATGTAAAATATCTGTAATAATATGCAATTTATGTTAGTCTTCAATCAAACAATAATTTATACCATACTCTATCTGATCTTTAAAAATCCAAATTATTAAAATTCAAAGTAATAGAGTGTAGAACTGATTTCATTTGCTTTACTGAAACACAGAATAATGACATGAAAACATGAAAAGATTATTATGGGGAACCCCCTTCAAGAGCCAAGTCATTTGGCAATAAAAGTTTCTTTGAGTCAGCAGAGCGCTTCCTGGAGCAGACTGGAAAGGCCCAGAAAGTGGTACTTAGCAAGCTGACGTGCTGCTGCACCTCCGATGAACGCAGCATCTTCACGGTATGTCCACAGCACTTAAGGCTTCCAAGGGCATTGAGACTCGAGACTGATGTCCTCTCTAGCTTGTGAGCAAGGCGGAAAACTGGCAAGCAGCCCGTTTGAGTGTTCATAGATTAAAGAAGAGCTCGGAGGAAAGTTTAAGTAATTACGCAAATATGGTAACAGTCCTCTGGCAAACAGCTTGCAAAATCCATGGCACGCGGTACGTAAAGTTGTTAGAATACTGACTGCAGTGATGTAGAAATGGAGAAAACATATGTAAATCAACAGTATTTTGGAGCCAGGAGAAAACTGGGGTGTGGAAGGAATCCATCACAAAATGACTGCCCAGCATCTGTAGTATTTGGATTTTAGACTTTTATTGCCAAATGAAAATGTCATTTCATTTATTTCTGGAGTAATGGACTGTAACTCGTGGTATGCTAAATATAAACTCTGGAGGCCTGGTACTTTGCAAGGGTCTCAGATCTGGTGGGTAACATATAAGCAGAGGCACAACCCAAACTTACAACCCACGCTAAATTAACTGATAAGACTTTTTTGCAACACAGTTACTTATCTGGACCTGTCTTTCCAGATAGGATAATTAAAGGACTCAATCCCATCAGAGGAGGACGCACAGGCAAACTACCCACCCTCGTAAATTTTCAACAGCAATTCTTCTGCTTTAAGATCATTAAAGCATTTCACTTCAAATCCCAGATCTGAAAACCTGGGAATAAATGAAACTGAGTATTAGCATACGAGCTATTTGAAGTTGTCAAATAGCTTATCTCTGCTTATCTGAGGAATCTATACACATTTTTATGGCACATCCATTGACTTTTCTTTGAGGAGAAAGACAAAAATTATGATGATGGTTTTCTTGATCACCCAGAGTAGGAAAAAATTTACTCAAAATGATAACCGATTCAAGTTAGAATATTACCGTCGACTATGCAAATTTACTTGTAACAACACAAGGCCCGTTAACATTTAGCAGAGCAGGGTTAGGAAGACAACGCAGGCCAGTTCTTCAGAGAGGCTGTGCCCAGTGAGGCCCACCCTCGAGCACTCTTGCTCTGTTATGTCATCAGCGCTGACAAGTTTTGCTAAGTACTCGTGTTATCGCTTACATGGCTCATCATCTTGACATATGGATAAAACTACTACCTGCGCATCAGATTGTCTCTGTCTGCGCTCGTGCCCCGCCTGTCCGGCAGGGTTAGGTGCCAGAAGAACCTCTCATGATTGAAGATTAGAGCAATTCCTCTCCTTTTGTGGTCCATTTTGTACTTTTCTGCCGGATCAAACATTTCTCTGTTAATGAAAAGTTTAAAAAACATCACTTTAAGTCACATTACATACTGAGCTCCTGCAAGCCCAAGGTCAATGTGTACGGGAGATACAGACCCGCCCCTTCCTCCTCCTGGGCCAGGCTGACATGCCGCAGCATGTGCCGGGAAAGCCTGGTGGCCACACTAGCAGGCAAAGTCCTGACACACCTCTGTACCAGTTGGTCAACAGCGGCTTCTGGAGCAGCCACCCCCAGTCCTGGTGCATGCGTCTCCCCCAGGTCCCAGGATCCAGCAACGGCAAGGACCTGGCCCAGGCCCCAGCTCTGGGGCCCACGCCGTAGTGAGTGTGAAATATTGTGAACATCACTCTAGGTCCTTTCACAACCAGGGCAGCAACCCACCTGCCTCTCTACAGGCAACTCTGCGAATGCAGAGCCCGGACACCCTCGGCTCTCCTCACGGCTCCCAGGTCCCCTTCCTGCTTTGATTTCTCCAGGCTGATCAGGGTCACCGAAGGGAGAGACCTTTACTAGAAAAGGGTACAGTCTTACCTTTTATAGAAGGCATCTATTTCGGTCATGTTTTGTTCTTCACCTATTAAAAAAAGTTGACTTTTGTTAATTTACTTTGTGACTCATGGAAGTAAAACACAACAGGAACTCCCGCGTGCCTTTGACTCCCACACTCTAAGGCCCTCCTGTTTTGGTTGGTTTTAGCAGCATATTGTCAAATACCACGTCTGACCAGGCAAGGGAAACAATAGAAAAAATAAACAAATGGGACTACATCAAACTAAAAAGCTTCTGCACAGTAAAGGAAACCATCAACAAAACGAAAAGACAACCTAACAATTGGGAGAAGATATTTGCAAACCATATATCTTGATAAGAGGTTAATATCCAAAATATACAAAGAACTCATACATCTCAACAACAAAAAAACTAACAACCCAATTAAAAAACAGGCGAAAGATCAACAGAGATTTCTCCAAAGAAGATATACAGATGGCCAACGGGCCTATGAAAAGATGCTCAACATCATTAGCTATCAGGGAAATGCAAATCAAAACTACAATGAGCTATCACCACACGTCCCTCAGAATGTCTATAATTAACAACACAGGAAAGAACAAGTGTTAGAAAGGATGCAGAGAGAAGGGAACCCTCATATGCTGTTGGTGGGAGTGCAAACTGGTGCAGCCACTATGGAAAGCAGGATGGAGATGCCTCAAAAAATTAAGAATAGATCTACCATATGATCCAGCTATCCCACTGCTGGGTATTTATCCAAAGAACTTGATAACACAAAGGCATAAAGATACATGCACCCCTATGTTCGTCTCAGCTTTATTCACAATAGCCAAGACTTGGAAGCAACCTAGGTGCCCATCAAGGGATGAATGGATAAAGAAGATGTGGTATACATACACAGTGGAATACTACTCAGCCATAAGAAATGATGAAATCCGGCCATTTGTGACAACATGGATGGACCTTGAGGGTATTATGATAAGTGAAGTTTAAGTCAGAGGGAGAAAGTAAAATACCGTATGATTTCACTCATAAGCAGAAGATAAAAACAATGACAAACAAACACAAAGAAACAGAGAATGGATTGGTGGTTACCAGAGGGGAAGTGGGGAGGCAAGAAGGGGAAAGGGGTGGTTAGGCACATGTGTGGGGATGGATGGTAATTAGTCTTTGGGTGGTGAACATGATGTAGTCTACATAGGAACTGAAATATATAACGATGTACACCGGAAATTTATATAATGTTATAAAATGTTACCACACACACACAAAAGGGCAAAGTACGTGAAAAGAAGGGAAAGGGGAAAAGGAAAGGAAGCTGCTTCATAACTGACAGCTCAATTCTTTCTCACTCCCAGCTCTTACCCACAAAATAGCAAAGAATACTATACAGAGAAATGGAGAAAATATCACATAAACGCATTCGTTGCAAACTATGCCCAGAGTAACACAGTTCTGGGATTATGGAGCCCAAATGAAATACGACATTGCTTTGTTCTGCAGAAAGTATTTTGCAAATATTCTCTGAAACCGAAGGAATTCAGTCATACAGGAGAACTGAAACTGTGCTTAGTACTGGATTACCCTGCTCCCAGGAGGAGGGAGAAGTTTGGGGGGAGGGCGGAAAGGGGCAGGATGAAGACTTGGTATTTTTTGGTTTTTGTTTGTTTGTTTGTTTCCAAGGAAGGTTAGCCCTGAGCTAACGTCCGTGCCCATCTTCCTCTACTTTATATGTGGGACGCCTGCCGCAGCATGGCTTGATGAGTGGTGCATAGGTCCTCGTCCGGGATCTGAACCAGCGAACCCTGGGCCACCAAAGCAGAGTGCAAACTTGACTGCTATGCCACTAGGCCAGCCCCGAAAGCTTGGGTTTTGGATCTCTTGGATGACACATCTGCACTCATCACCCTATGATGAGGACCCTGTGCTCCCCATCCATGACCAGGCCTCCCCACCCTCGGGACAACTTTCACCAAATCCCTCTCCACTCCCCAGAAGGATGCCGTGCAATAGAACTTCCTACGATGACAGGATTGCTCCATGCCCGCTGTCCCATACGGCAGCCACTGGCCACATGTGGCTGTGGAGCACTTGAGATGTGGTTAGTGTAACCGAGGAACTCAATTTTTTATTTTATGTAATTTCAATTAATTTTAATTTAAATAGCCACATGTGGCCAGTGGCTTCTGTATTGGACAGCACAACAAGTCTAGCATCTTCTAAGTTAAGGGCCCATACACCCACGAATCTGTTTTCACCTGGTAACAGATTGGAGGGGAGAGAGAAAGCAATGAGTAAAGAAGTCTTAACAGGACAGCAGGATGCACCTCTCAGCTGGTCTCTGAAGGGGTCAACTACCACCCATCCCCTCCTAGCCGGGAGGGTCCTGTGCCCCTCTCTCCTTAGAGTCTCTCGCTGACACCTGACTGTTCTAACTTCCTGGCTCCCACCGGTGACAATCCACTGGGGAGTGAGGGTGGGGCGGGAACTGGGCCGAAGCGGTTGCCTTCGCCTTTCCTCCTGGAGTCCCCAGCACACAAGAGCCAGCTGGACCCGCAGGGGTGTCCCCTGTCCAAGGGGCCTCCCATCAGCTTTTCTCAATCTTTCGCATCAATTCCTGGCCTGGCTGATATGCACAGGCCTGATCGAGACCAGACTGACAGCAGAATCCGGCAGAGGCGACAATCTGCATTTTCAACAGGGCGACGTTCACTCGCACTAAAGTTTAGGAGTCAAAGCCTCTTTAACACACCCTCCTCCCCCTCCCAGTTTACCATCCTACTGCTCACACTGCTCCACACGGAGCTTCCTGCCGCACACACCGCTCTGCAGGGAACTTCCTGCTCCACACACGGCTCTACCCACACACCTCCTCCTCCACACACGGCTCTAGCCACACACCTGCTCCACACACAGCTCTACCCACACACCTCCTCCTCCACACACGGCTCTACCCACACACCTCCTGCTCCACACACGGCTCTACCCACACACCTCCTCCTCCACACACGGCTCTAGCCACACACCTGCTCCACACACAGCTCTACCCACACACCTCCTCCTCCACACACGGCTCTACCCACACACCTCCTCCTCCACACACCGCTCTACCCACACACCTCCTGCTCCACACACGGCTCTACCCACACACCTCCTCCTCCACACACGGCTCTACCCACACACCTCCTCCTCCACACACCGCTCTACCCACACACTTCCTGCTCCACACACCGCTCTACCCACACACTTCCTGCTCCACACACGGCTCTACCCGCACACTTCCTACTCCACACACCACTCTACCCACACACTTCCTGCTCTACACATGGCTCCATATGGGAACTTCCAACTCCACACGCTGCTCTACATGGAACCTTCCTGCTCTACACATGGCTCCATATGGGAACTTCCAACTCCACACGCTGCTCTACATGGAACCTTCCTGCTCCACACAGGGCTCCACATGGGAACTTTCAACTCCACACGCTGCTCTACATGGAACCTTCCTGCTCCACACAGGGCTCCACATGGGAACTTCCAACTCCACACGTTGCTCTACATGGAAACTTCCTACTCCACACAGGGCTCCACAGGGGAACTTGCAACTCTACCAGCAACACTTCCTACTCCTCACAGAGCTCTACTAGGATACTCTCTGCTCCACACACTGTTCTATTGGGTATACTTCCTCCTCCAGAAACTGGTCTACTGGTGTACCTCCTCTCCCTACTGAGATACTTCTTGCTCCACACACTGTTCTACCTGGGATACTTCCTAACCTATAAACTCCTCCACCCGGAATACCTTCTATTTCACACACTGCTCTACCCAGAAGACTTCCTTCTATACACACTGATATACCAACTACTTCCTACTCCACACACTGCTCTACCTGGAATACTTTCCACTCCACACAGTGCTCTTCCCTGAATACTTCTTACTCCACACCCCGTCTACCAGGGTTACTTCCTCCCCCACACACAGCTCTACCTTGGATACCTCCTACTTCAAACAGTGATCTACTGAGCACATTCCTCCCCCACACACTGCTCTCTGGGGTTCCTTTCTATCCCCACACTGCTTTACTTAGGCAGTGCAGGGATTTTCTCTCCTCCCATTTTCAGAAGTGTTCCAGGATCTGCCTCCTTTAATAACCTCACTTCTTTATCTTTAAACCAATTATACTATAAATAGAATAACTCAAACTAAACACATTAAATCCATATCTAAAAGCCAGCCACCTTCTTCACCCGCTACAAACCTGCTCAGGTTGGAAAGAACTGAATCTCTTCCATGGGGATGAAGTACTGGTAGATCCAGCAGCTTACCTCTTCCAGCTTTTGCACCATATTGGCTCATAAACCTAAGGCAGCTTGAGGTCCACCTGGCAGAAGCTGTGTCAAACGGCTGGTAACCAAACTAACTCAAGTCCTCGAGGGTGAAAGCATGGGAGATATACACGCCACTGGGTCTTTAAAGTTTGCTTTTCATAGTCTAGGGAAGGAGCTTCTAGTTCTTCCTGGCTGGATGTAATTTAAGATGCGCATTTGGGTTGTCTCAAATATTGCCATAGCTTAGTCAAGATCTGTAGATTTAGGAATGAGAGCTAGTTTTAAGTAGATCAAGATAATTGGCTTAAAATGACATTCAATTTCAAAGTTAACAGATACAGCATCTCAGCGAGGGGTTTTTAAAAACCTTTTTGTTGTTTTGTTAATACTATGGATGTAGAAAGAAACTGGGCTCTGAAAACTTTAGTTCTGGTCCTCGCCAGCTCCAACCCTCACCCTCACTCTCACATACATGTACACCTGCATCCTGCAACACCGATGAACGACCAGGTCCAGCTGCCATTCTCTTCTAGCAATTTGTTGAATCAGCACAGAAAACCACGGAGATAGAAGGTTAGGACCTTAGTTCCAATACTCTTCTGGAGTTGATCAATTTTACCCAGGTTCCAGAGAAAATAACACATCGTGACCGTCACAGTCACTCCAAGCTGTATGTCCCAAGCAGGCAAGCTTGAGCAGGGGTGCACTTCAACAACTATCATTACACTGCATGGATGCAAATAAGCTGGCTAACAAGGTGGATGGCTTTGTTGACATGGGGAAAATAAATTTCAATGGAGGAGACATCCGATATAACAGATTTATCACTTCCTGTTCATCTGCAATCTACTGATCAAAAATGGGTCCATCTTTAAACCTGACTTTTGACCTCCTCTCACTTCTCATAGCTTCTTTTTTTTTGAGGAAGACTAGCCCTGAGCTAACTGGGGCCAATCCTCCTCTTTTTGCTGAGGAAGACTGGCCGTGAGCTGACATCCGTGCCCATCTTCCTCTACTTTATATGTGGGACGCCTGCCCCAGCATGACTTGCCAAGCAGTGCACTGTCTGCACCCGGGATCCGAAGCAGCGAACCCCCGCCCGCTGAAGCAGAACGTGCGCACTTAACTGCTGCACCACGGGGCGGCCCCTCATAGCTTCTGATGTAAGCAATATTCCTGTCCCCCTAATGCAACACCACCTCTTTGCTCCTTACGCCAGTCTAATTTCTATAAACCAATCACTCCTTTTCCTCACCTTATTTGAGAATCCCTCCGGATAATCCTACCAGCTCCCATTTGTTGATGGCCTGGCACTATGGATACTTTATCTCACTCAGCTCCACAGCCCCATGAGGCAGGGACAAAGTGCGCCAGGCTTGTCCAAGGTCAGCGCTGTGGAGGTGGGGTTGAAAGCCAGGCCCACCTGTGGAGCCTACAGTCTGAGCGCTCCACTCACCATGCTAACCCCCCTCCCACCAGAGACCAGCTACCTTTCCAAACTAAGTGCTCATTTCCCCAAACTTCTTCTGTAGGCACTGTCGGCGTCTTCATCCACTGCAGTGGCTATGAAAATCCACCCAGATCCCCTATCCCAATCTGTTTAATAATCCTGTGTGGAGTAACCCATGTCAGGCCTAGGACACACTGGAAAAGGGGTGGGGTGGAGAAAAAAGGAAGCAGCAGGCAGGAAAAGGTCAGGAGATGAGAACGATGCAAGAGGAGGTGCGTGGCTAGCGACCCCTGCCGGCTTCCCACCTCACCACTGCTCCAAAATGGAAATGGCCACCCTGAGCGACCACGGGGACTTTAACTCGCCTCTGGGGCAAGGCTTGTCACGTGTAGAAAGGAAAAAACAGCTGTGAAATAAAGGCACTCTGCATAGACTGCGCCCGCTTCTACTTTTTTTTTCTTTTGCTACAGCCAGTCTCGAAGTTTCTAAACCGTATCAGTGATATAATTAGTGATAGGGAAGAATGTTCCAAAGTAGCGTGCAGAGGCGATTATCTCGTAGAGAAAAGCTGCTGTGGTTTCGGCTCACACCCACAAGCAGCTGCAGGTCCCTCCAGGCCCGACTCCGGTCTCCGGGCAAAGTGCGGGCGCCCCGCGCGCTGGCCACGCTCCCGGGACGACTGCGTGCGACCACTTGTGTTCACTCTTTACTTAAAAGTGAGAAGACAAAACAAGATCCAACCTCCCGGAGCCACCTTTGCTGGGAGCAAGCGGGGGCGCCAGGAGCGCCAGCCAGCCTCTAGGCTTGCACGGGCCCGCCGCCGGGCAGAGACGGCCGCCGGGGACAAAGGCGGCCGGGCACGCCCAGCGACCGTCGCCGCCCGCTCCGCAACGACGCGGCGCCCAGGGCCCGAGCGGCAGTTCGGGACCAAAAAGCCAAGCTGCCGCCACCGGCCCTGAGCCGGGCCGCCGCGCCCCCAGCTCCCCGCGCGCGCCCGGCGCCCCGGCCCTACCTGCAGGGCACCCCGAGCTCCTCCGGCCGCCGAGCCCGCCGCCCGCCAACGCTTCCTGCCGCCCGCAGCCCCCGCCCCTTCCTCCGCCCCTCCGCGCCCCTGCCGGGCCCCCGCCGCGGCTTCCCCAATCCGGAGCCGGGGGAGGGCGCAGGGACGCGGTCGCGTCGGCCGGGCGCTGGAGACGAGCCGGCCCCCAGGAAAGGCCCGTTGCCACCCCGGGGACGGACGGCGGCCCGGGCGGGGAGTCCCGGCGGGTCCCGATGCCGGGCGCCGCGCGCCCGCCCCCGCCCC